CAGGTACCTTCTGCTGGAACCAGCCATAAGCATTGTTGCTACTCCCGGAGCAGATCTGGGTGGTTTGCCCCAAGGACACAGACACTGGGGGCAGCTGAGCCAGAGCCGTGTGAGAGCAAGGGGCGGGGGCAGAAGCTCTCCCCCCAGCCGCAGCGCCCGAGGATCCCACGGGCTGGCAAATGCCCACGCACCCAGCCCTGCACACCCACGGCAGCTGCAATGCCGCAGGGCCCCGGGCAACCCAGCCTGGGGGAGCAGAAATGTGGCGATGCTTTTCTCAGGCAGCTCTGCTGGCTCCAGCTCCCAACACTGTCCCAGGCTCCTCTGCCCCTCACGTCGATATTGGGCAGCAGGGACGAGCCTGGCCAGGGTTTCTCCGTCACCAGGGTCCCATCGCTGGGGACATAGTCACAGCCCTGAGACACAGGGCACACGGGGAAGGGCACCCGGAGGGAAAAGGGAAAACCCCAAAGCCAGAGAGACGGCCCTGCCGGGCTGAGAGAAAGGGGGAGATAAAACCAACCTCTGTGACACTCAAGGTCTCACTTGCCTGTGGCTTGGTGTCATCATGAGATCAGCGCAGCTGCCGTTGACGCTACCGAAATAAGAGACAAACTCAATTTTTAATTTCCCTGTACCTCACTTCCACAGCTCTCTGTGTCACTACAACAGGAAAACTGCTGCTGTCTGCGCTACCACAGTAATAGACGGCCTCGTCCTCGGCTTGGACCCCAGTGATGGTTAACGTGCCCGTGGAGCCGGACTGGGAGCCGGAGAATCGCGAAGGGATGTCCGAGGGTCTCTTGTTGTTATAATGGATCACAGTGACAGGGGCAGTACCAGGTACCTTCTGCTGGAACCAGCCAAAATAGTAGCTACCCCCGGAGCAGGTGATCCGGACGGTTTCTCCCGGGTTCGCTGACACCGAGGCCGGCTGAGTCAGCGCTGCCTGGACCAGGGAACCTGGAGAGGGAGAGGAGAGAGGGGAGAAGACGGGGGTCAGTCAGTGCCCCAGGAGCACAGCCCTCCCCGG